TGTTTGGTTTGAAGGGAAAAATAAAAAAAAGAAAGGGAAACATTTAGGGGACGTTCTTTTTTTGGATTTTGAAAAGGGGGAAAGTTGGTCAATGGGATTTTGGTTCCCACTCACCAAGAATCCCATGTTCATTTTTCAGATTAATGTGGGGACCAAGGAAAATTTATTTTYCTAGACATCCTAGGTGGGTAAATAACTTTCCCAACTAGAAGGAAAGTTGCTAATACTTGAATGGAACAAAAATGCCCCTTTTAATAATGGATTTTTATGACTAAAATGGTCATTACCTTATTTACCTAAGAGATAAAAGAACATGGGTAAATACACATACTTGGGTAAATGTTACCCAGGAAAAACATACCCAGATAAGTAACTTACCGAAAAACGAACAGAGCTTTAGTATGATCAAAGCGGCTATTATTTTCGTATGGATCCTATTATAACTATATTAGATTAGAGTTTATTGAATTGATGATAACCTCTTAGCGCTCGAGTTTAGATCTGCCATCCACAAGCCTAATCACAACACACTATAGCCATGCATTAGCAACATCTCATTCATTCGTGGGAGATGTTCCTGAAGCACGGCTGTACCACAGTGTCTTGTGGGTACATGGGGGTAGTAGATGCCAACAACATTCTACCAGTTTGGCTATAAATATCTCTTTTGCATATGAAAATAGAGAATTCATATGTACTACCAACAAAGACACCATGTACCCACAAGACTCTGCAGCCAAACCAGGGAAATGGGCGGGTTGTGGCTATAGTGTCTTGTGGGTAGAAAATCCAGACTCGGAAATGGATTTGCTAGTCAGGTTTCAGGTTGTTTTTAACAAAAGTTTTATTTTTTATTGTTTTATTTTTTTACCCTAGGCTTGCATAGCTCCTCCTTATTCAATCAAAAAGAACTTTTTTTTTTTTGCAATGAGTTTATTTTTGCTCATTCCATGAATTATACATGCGGCCTTCTAAATCCACATGCACGTGATAGATATCGTAGCAGTACTTGCTTTTTTTATTTTTATTTTTTAATTCTTTCAATTTGACACTCAATTTGCATAATTATGTTCTCCCTAGTAAAGTGCTCGGAAGGATACTTGCATCTTTCATAGATGGAACTGTTGACGTTTGGTGTGGCTAAGGAATTCAACAGTCACAATTAGTGTTGCCGTTTGGTGTGGCTGCTGAGATTCAATAGTCACAATTACTCCACTAAAAACTGCTCCTCCATTTTCGACTCCACTAAAACTGCTTCTCCATTTCACCATAAATTTTGGGACCATGTTCCATATTTTTCTTCTATAAAAGGGGAGCTTCCAGGGAGTARTAGGTRCATGGAGAGAGAGCATTAGAAAGCTGAAGAGATTGGGAGAACACCATCGCCATCTTCCAGCGAGATCTACTCCTACTCTGTTTGGGATCGGTTTTCTTCTTCACTCCTGCCATTAAGGGTTCTTTCACACCAGGTCAAAACAGTCATCTATGCTATGGAGTGSTTCAAGGCTTTGTTAAAAGCATTTCGGCACTAGTAAAGTGGCTAGTTTGTAGTACTCTCATCAAGGATATGAATAAACAAGTTTTCTTTCCTCTCATGTGGATATAGGTCTCTTTGACCTAACCACATAAATCTGGTGCCATCTTTACCTTTCTTTTGCTCTTATTATTTGCTTTATAATTTACATATTTCTCAATTATTTTCTTGTTTGCCATACTAATTAATCGGTGATTTAGAGTTTAAATTCTATCAAATTGGTATCAGAGCATTGCTTTTTTTGAATTATTTACCGATTAATTTTGTTACTAATGGCATCAATGAAGTTTGACAATGAGAAATTTGATCAACCTGTGAATTTTGGTCTATGGAATCTCAAGATGAGAGCGATTCTGATTCAGAACGGCTTGGAGAAGGCCTTGGCAGGACAAAAGAATAAACCTGAATCCATGTCCGATGAAAAGTGGGAGGAGATTGATATGAAAGCCATGTCGGCTATTCATTTGTGCTTATCGAACGAGGTTCTTCGTGAAATTGCTAAAGAAACCTCTACAGTAGAGTTGTGGCTCATGTTGGAGTCACTCTGTATGACAAAGAGTGTGACCAATTGGCTTCTATTGAAAAGCAGACTTAAGGACTTTCGTCTTCGGGAAGGTAGCTCGATTAAAACCCACCTTGATGAGTTTTTCTCGATTGTCATGGATCTGCAAAATATTGATGTTGCGATTGATGATGAAGATTTGGCAATCACTCTTTTATGTTCTTTACCCGCATCATATAAGCATTTTAGAGAGACCTTATTGAATGGGCATGAGGAGATTACAGTTGAAGATGTAAAGAATGTAATGTAGCGCGATCTAGTCACTCCTAGCTGGCAGGGGTCTCGCTCCAAACTGGCAACGGATAGCACTTGAGAAGGAGAAGATGAATGATTCCTGGGGAGCTCGCCCGGCGGGAACACTCTGATGCTTAAGTTAGAACTCAACGAAAAGCTAAGAGAGTAATGACGAGCTAAGAGTGGAGATGCGCACTACTTGATTACCAA